CAGGAGGGATCAGGTATGGGGATGGAAGGAGAGAGTACTTGACAACTGGAATTAGGGGACATTTTGGAGGCTAGATAAAACCTAGTGTGAACTTCCTGGAATCTGTGAGGGTGACCCTAGTCAAGCCACCTAGTAATGGGAGATGTGGAGCCTGAAGTGGGCATCTTCTGTAACCAGGCAAGGCTTCCAGTAGAGCGACTGGGACAATAACTCAGCCAGAAAACCTTCAACCTACAACCTGTCTGCCTGCAAGATGTTCCAGGGTAATGGTGGTGAAGGACTTGTGGGAGTGGCCGACTGATGTTTGGTCCGACTTAGAGCCCACGGCACAATAGGGAGCCCACGCCCCCCCACCCCCGACACTGCAAGGGCCAGGACCCAGAGGCTGGAGAGCCCAGAGACAGGGGATAGAACCAGAAAGGACTGAGAAAGAAAAAGTCAATGAAATGATTCCTAATGATACTCTGCTATACTGATAGACTGGAGCCTAGCATAATCATCACCCAGCAACTGATGGGAGCAGATGAAGAGACCCACAGCCAAACATTAGGTGGAGCTCGGGGAATCCTGTGGAAGAGGAGGAGGAAGGATTGTGGGAACCAGAAGAGTCAAGGACACCACGAGAACTCAGTCCACAGAACCAGAGACTGAACTGACAGTCAGGGAGCCTGTATGGGTCTGACTTCAGTTCTCGGCATGTATGTTTGGTGTTCCTGTGGAACTCCTAACAGTGGGATTAGGGCTGTCTCTGGCCCTTTTGCCTGCTTTTGGGACCCTTCTCCTCCTATTCTCCTCCTACTGGGTTGCCTTGTCCAGCCTCGATATGAGGGAAGGTGCCCAGTCTTATTGCAACTTGATATTCCCCATTAGGTTGTCGTCCATGGGAGGAGGTCTGATCTCTTCCGAAGGGAAAAGGAGGAGGAATGGATCTGGGGAAGAGGGCAGGCTGGGGTGGGGTGGGACTGGGAGGAGAGGAAGGAGGGGAAACTCCAGATGAGATGTACTATCTGAGAGAAGAATAAATGAATTATTATTATTTATTTTTATTTTTCAAGACAGGGTTTCTCTGTGTAGCCTTGACTGTCCTGGAACTCACTCTTTTGACCAGGCTGGCCTTGAACTCACAGAGATAAATTAATTTTTAAAAAAAGGAAAAATAAAAAAGAAAAATCATTCACTCCTCCCTTGGACCTACAGCATAAGTGAAAGCCGGCCATCTCTGTCTTCATTTTTTGCAGGTCTTCTTTTCTTTGGCTGAAGGCACAGAGATGAATTGTTTTCCTTAATCTTTCTTCTTGTCATCTTAGATTCCCAGAACTGCAGAACTTTCCAGGACAGAGCAGCTCAGGGTAATTATCCTTGTTGGAGGGGCCACACCCTGGAACAGAAGTTGTCCTTCAGGAAAACCACCTTATCCCCTTAGGCAATAAAGATGTCTTCACAGCTCTCCCAGGAGTGCCGGGACACAGTGATGGGTGGGGCCCCACCTTAAGCAGCACAGCTTAATTATGCACCCTTCTTACCCTCTACTTAAACCTATAGCTTCAGTCAGTTCTTGAAGTCAGACTTAGGGTTTTTTTTTTTTTTCTCTTTCCATTGTGGCCATAATGAATGAGTTTCCTCTCTGCTTTTCACCTTGATGTCTTTTTAATTGAAATATTGGAGATGGATGATCAAGCCTAGCTCCTTAGAGCTCCCAGAACCCTGGTTTTAACCCTAATAACTCTGGTTACCTTGAGGTGTGAGTCACTGGGCTGCACTGAACTTAACCTGTGGGGTTAAAGTCTTGTGTAGGTCTGAGGCTGGTTTAGGGGACACGTTAGCATTGAATGAAGCTCTGTTTCTCTTTCTCCCTGTCTCTCTCTGGCTCTCTCTCTCTCTCTCTCTCTCTCTCTCTCTCTCTCTCTCTCTGTGTGTGTGTGTGTGTGTGTGTTAGGGACAACAAACTCTTCTTGCCCTGAAACTAAAAGCATCCCCCTGCCTCAGCCTCCAAGAGTTGGGATTATAGGTATACACACCATGCCTAGTTTTCATTTTGTCTGCTGTGCAGTCCCTGGAACTGGAGTTACAAATGGGTGCTAGCTGTCATGTGGGTGCTAGAAACCAAACCTGGGTCTCTGCAAGGGCAGTAAGTGTTTTTAACTGCTGAGCCATCTCTCCTGCTTCCCATGACCTCATAACAGAATATTTTAGCAAGCTAGGCTCTTCGTGCCTGCCCCTGTTTGACAGGGGATACATTTTGAGTATATTCATACATGCATGCATGCATGCATTCATTTTTACAGTGCTGGGAATCAAAGTCAGGACCTTGAGTATGTTAGGTAAATGCTGTCACTTAACTACACGCCCGAGGCAGGAAGGCAGGGCCAGACCTGCCTGCAGTGAGTCATAGGAAGGTTAATTCCAGGATCCAGCAGCCTCAAACGCTGCCCCTTAGAACTGCTCTTGATCATCCCTTTTATTTCGCAATCCTTCTCCAACAAACAAGAAAATCTGACCACAGCTGAGAAATAGAGCCCAGAGAAGATTCCCCTGGAGACACACACAGTCGAAGTGAGAGGACTGATGGCCCTGGGGCGTCACAAACCACTTGAAGGCTGATGCCTAAGACTCTACCAGGACCATGGGGTAGTGCACGTAAGTATAACATTATATAAGCTGAAGATGCCAGTCATCTGCACCAGTCAAGGAAAAAGCCGTCTCCTCAGGAAATCTCTCATTTCACTTTTGTAGTTAAAACCCCTTGGACCCCAAAACAAGAGGGTGCTTGAGCCATGTGCTTGTTTGAGCCCACTTCCACTCTGTAGAGTGCACCCTTTTCTTTCTTTCTTTCTTTCCTTCCTTCCTTCCT